ATACGTTAACACTTCTTTTTGTGGGACAACGCATTACTTGTTAGACCATGGAGGTATTATAGTATAATAATAATAAATAATAATAATAGTTATAGTAGTATTATAGTAGTTTACTATAATACCTCCATGGTTACACATGCATGTACTGTATTCCTGGTCTGGTTGTTCAGTTGTTCAGTTTGATTGACAACCCTTGGTTTATTTGTTTACCTTGATGATATATTTTCTCATCATGCATTTACCTTATTATTTATAATAATATGTTATAAATTAATTTTGTTAAAACAATAAACATTACAAGTACAATGTGACACCAAACAATATAATCAATCTATTGTATCTATCAGTCAATGCTAAACTAATTCCTCCATGGTCAATGTAACATGTAAAAGTAGAAATATACTGTAGAGCAGGCATGCAATAGAGTGCATAACTACTGTATGCTAAGGTGATATTCCTTTACCTTTGACCTTTTCACCCCAAAAAACCCTTCTTTTAATATGAGGATCCAGTCATTTCATTCAATTTTTTGAATTTCTGTGACCTTGATTTTTCAATTCAAAATTTAGATACCTGCTCCTACTCCCCAAAGGAGTCGTTCTCAATTATCTGCATTTTCACAAGTGACATTACACAAAAATGGAAAATGGTTTTCAAAATCAACATTTTTTTATGTACACTTTCAGGGGGACACCGAAAAAGAGTACTGTTTGTACACTTGCACGAAAATGTTGATTATGTGAATGACCCCTGAATATTATGACTATTCATTAATTTTTACATAATCATGCTATCTCAGACAGACAAACACCTATGAATATAGAACATCCTTTCCATGGCAGTGTCAATATGAAACAAAAACATCATTGCTTACATACATGGTATCAATTGCGTGTTTTAATTAAACTTACTCTAGTTATGGCTTGCTAGATAATTTATTCCTTGTTAAAATTTAATGTCATATGGAGTAATTTGATTGATTTAAATTAAAGGTTTAGTTATACTGTATGCAAAATACTAGGGATTCTTTGTGTTTAAGAGTTCAATCGAAACCCTCCACTTCTATCAAAACCCCCACAAGGAAATAGAAAATTGAAAGGTATTAAATGTGTTCAACAAGCTCTCTCCAAATCTCTAGTTATTTCTGCACCACTTCCTTAAAAGAAACACAGAAACACGATCATGAATCATTGCACTATTTTTGTTGTGTTTCTCTAACTACAGTACTATTGGAGATTAATCAGTGGACCTTTCAGTTACAGTACTATTGTACTTTCCCTTTATCTGCAACATAAACTCAAATAAACTGAAAAGTAATTCAGTATTCACTTTTCAGTTTATTTGAGTTTATGTTGCAGATAAAGGGAAAGTACTTACTTTCCCTTTATCTGAAACATAAACTCAAAATTTAAGATTATGGCTTCAAATTTATTTTTTAAGCTTGAAAAATGACCTGTGGAAAATCATATACAAACTACTTTACAAAATCCTGGTTTGGTTTGAAGTGGCTGCTTAAAAAAATTAAAGTGATAAATCTAGATTTTGGAGATTTTTTGGAACAGCGTTGCTGATCAATGAAACAACCTATACTGACGTCAGTGACATCTACATCAAACTTATTTTTTTATTTATAATATTTAAAAGGATTTATAATACTGTAGTGCACATACCGTATTTAGAAAACTGCTCACGGTGCTTTTTTTCTCTTGGTCATTAGATACATAATCGATCATACACAACATGCAACCTGCTCCGCTTCGTAATGAGAATTCCTAGTAAATGTGTGTAATCAGCACTACTAATATCATTCTAAATCATTTGCCTCCTACTGTACCAAGTACAGTACCTTTATACTCCTGAGTGAAGATAGGCAAATGCAGATAAAGTGTCTTCACCAAGGACACTAAGCAGTATGATGAGCATCGGTCTTGAACCCCCGACCTTCTGATATAAAGCCCAATGCCTTACATTCTGTGCCACACCGCTTCTATGAGCGATCTTGATCATGGATGATGAACTTCATCACCCTAAGTTGAAGTACTTTAAATTGCTTTCCAGTAGTCAATGCAAAGGTGGCCGGATTTTCCAAAACTTTCTGTTCTGCTGCTATCAGGCTATAAATGAAAATGATATGATTGTGTCTTTCCTTCCTTCCTTTATTTTATCACTTATGATGTTGTTATAACTAATGGCATTAAAGTGAACTGGACTTGTTTTGTGGAGATGACGTCATTACAAACAATCTTTTCTGGCTACCAAAACATTTGCAGTAGACAGAATAAGTCACCAAAGATGACCTCATCAAAATTTGCCCGATTGGGTATTAAAAGATCTAATGCTAATGTATTGAGTGGAGTCGAAAGTGGTGTCTAAACTATTGGACAAACTTAAATTGCTGAATTGTAGAATAAGATGTTTCTTTTGACTACGATGGCCAATGAGTCAGAAGAACATTGTTTGTATACTCTCTACAACAGTAGTCTAGGGCTAGGCCTGTGTTCACGCTACAGGCTATTTATTTATTTATTTTATTTATTTACCAAATTTCTATAGCGCCCTTTTCATGAATAATCATGTTCAAAGGCGCTTTACATTAAGAATACAATAAATTAACAGTCAAAATATAAACAATTGAGAATATCAGAATTCATACATTAATTACAATAATATTTATAAAATGATACAGAAAAAGGATCCAGTATTTATTAACCGACAATATTGTATGAAGCAGTTATAAAAATCTAAAATTTGCACATTATCTCAAAATTGAGGCATACATTTAATATTTCGGACGCAATATATTCATACATTAAAAATTGAAATAAAACAATTTAAAATATATTATTAATGATTAAAATATTTTATTAACAATTGAGCTATAATTAAAACCATCAAACTTCAATTAAATTACCAGTTAAAACATTTTATTACAAAATTTTAAAACCGTGCACCAGTAACAAGTTATTGAATATAATTTAGGATGAATAAATGCATTTTCAGTGCTTTTCTAAAAATGTCTAATGAAGAGGCACTGCGAGGCTGAAATGGCAAATCATTCCAGAGCATAGGTGCAGCCTTTGCAAAACCCCTCTCCCCAAATGATTGAGTTTTAACTCTGGGAACACTTAATGTATATGAACCTACCTTGGGATCGCAGAGGTCTATTTGGTTGATATATATTTAATCTTTCGGTGAGATAAGTTGGTCCCTATGCAAAAATGTTCAAGTTTCCATTTGTTTCTTTCACTCTATTTCAAATCTAACAGGTCGATACTGTGAAGTTTATTATAGAAATAATTACCAAGGCTTTTCGATAAGTAATTTATGATAAAATGTACAAATAAATTAGTTTGAGGAGTTTAAAGACTCAAAATTTACTCGAGCGGAGGCTTATTATTGCGTGAAAAAACTGCCACCTATTACGGTTTGTTTTTATGTTATACCCACTATAACGGCTTCGGTTTGATGACTAATTCGGTGTATTGCATTCAGAAATGAGCTCTGTATAAGTGCAGTAGGTAAGCTGTATAATGAAACTATAGGCCTATCATTTTGAGTGGTTTACAGTAGACAGAGGTGTGTGATCGTTGCAATAGGTTTGCAGGAGTATAATTCTTATTTTTTACCCAAAAATAAATTATAACCACAGAACATTTCTTTTTGTAATTTGTTTTTTTTTTCCTTTGATAATACATTATAATTATTATCAAGTGGTTTCAGATGATGCAGGCAAAGGTTTGTGTGTTTTTTGTAGGAAGTTTGCGTTTTTTAGAGATTTGTGGGCTTCATGGTTTTTTGCAATATCTCTCACTGTGGAAGCAGTTTGGTGCAGTGGAAATGGTTTGGTTCCCCAACCTCTAGATCAGGGTTTTAATCCTTCGCTGTGCATTTCGCTTGTGTCTCCTTGAGCAAGGCACTTAATCTACATTGCTTCTGTCTACCCAGCTATATTAATGGGTACTAGCAAGCCTGCAGTGGAATAACTTCCCACCCTGGGGGAGCATCACACTCTCATCCGCTTCACGCTACAGAAACTGGGGATAAGTTGTAGCCCTTATGGGCCCTAGTGGCTTGGCAAGGATTTACATTACTCTCTAAGCATGATCATATCACTTTCTTTTTACTCCTTTTTTATTTAAAGTGTATTTTAAAAACAAACATAAGATAAGATTTTTAAAAATTACAATACCAATAACCATAAAAGTACCTTTACACTATCCCTACAATATTAAAAATGAGGCATTATATCAGATCCTTACAGGAGGCAGTAATGATCAACCAGCTCTGTGGGGGATCTTGATAACTTTCCCTTTAAGCCACAAGGAAACCGAAAATTGACATGCTATTAATGTGTGCAACCAGGAAGATGTGCATACGATCATCAGCTTGTTATTCCAGCATATTATGCAAGCTGGTACTCTTGATAATAACTTACTGTACAAATCCGTCTCATTGAGTACCTGAGGTCTATGGTAGTGTAAGCAATTCTCATGCATCTCTCAGTGTATTTAAAAAACTTTAAATATTTGTTTTTTTGAGGTGAGTCTGTTTTTATTATGGTATACAGTACAATATGATTCTAGTGGTATAATTTGCTTGTTATGAATACCTTACTACTGTATTTTCATTGTTATTATTAATATTCTTATTATATTAACGTTAAAATGATGCAAAATGCTATATTATCATTGATGACTTAGCTTTGTCCAGAATATAAAATTCTCTTTCACAAAAAACCGTTGTCTGCCCATATATAGTCATGATGTGCCCATATATTATGATACGATGTCATCATCTTGTTTTGAATTTTATCTGTGATGGATACAGTTACAGTATAGGGACTGTTTTATAAATTTCATTTTAAGCTACAAAAAATATTGGATTTTCATTTGAAGTTTTGCTGGTTACCAGCACAGCTTAATCAGGACATTGCACTTCAAGAATCTGGGAATAGGAACAACGAATTACCATGGAAACCTTCTAAAGCATGGTGACTTCATCCAAATTTGTGTTGGTACTGCGACCAGTAAAATTTAAAATAAAAAAATATGTCCAGTGCTCAATGTCAAATTGAAACATATAATTATAATACACTATATATCATTATTCAATTTCATTCCCCATCTGTTTATAATCCTTTAATTTATGATCCCAAGTTGTCATTTTTTTCATTCCATACTTTTAAAATGTCAATATTTCACCATGATTACTGTACAGTCCCAACAGTCTTCTTAGTAGACCATTGCTTTGATTTTGAGGTGGTAATTTGAGTTGCTTGACAATGCATCTTATTTCCATCTTGTTCAACTTTTCCATTTCCGTCATTTCCTTTATAATCCTTTACAGGAAGAGTACTTGGGTTATGTTGCCAAAGTTATCATCAAAGTTAAAGAAATGAGTAAGTAAATTTCTTATACTTGTATTTTCATCAATCGTCTATGTATCTTGTATAGATATTTTGTGATTATGTTAGTTTAACTTTAGTATTGTGTTTAACACAGTGATTGTGCTGTGTATAACATGTTACTGTAGGTCGTTGGAAAAATCTGATGCTTCACAAAAAAATATATATTAATAAATGATTGATTGAGTGAATGAAAAAAATGTGGGGAAAGGAAAATTGCATTCAAATTTAAGTGCCATATTTGGCCACCTAAAGGTGCTGTAGAAATCAATTGTTTTACCTCAACACTAAACAGGATGGAGCTAGGAAGTCTGGACACTCCATCTGTAAAAATCCCCCCCCCTGGCACCTTCTATTTCTGGATCTGCCACTGCAATACAATTAAAACTGGAAGAAAGAGCTAGAGAAAAACAAATACTATTACCACCAACAGTATAAGAATAGAGGGATTCGGCGATGGGCGTCACATGACCTAATTTGTGTGTTGGATATAAACAATCGACTGGCACAGCGGTGTTTTACATGGACATTGCTATTGGGGCCGTCGCTTGTTAATGCGGTAAATATCATCATAATTGCCAGTAAACTATACCAAATTGATTGGAAATTAGAGTTTAGAATTTTGCCGTAATGGTTTGCTAATGCTGTAAAGACACTGGCCGCAAACATTGAGATTTTTTGACAAATGTTAGGCCTACTGTAGGTACAGCGTAGTACCGACCCGCAAAATTTCAAGACATACAATCCTAGAAGAATGCTAAGAGTAAATAAACACTATTTTGAACAATCATATTGCCTTTCCTAGCCATTTATTTCTCGCGTTAACAGTGGGTGGTTGTTTTTGCAACCATAACATTATCTTTTTGTATACTATCGCACTGTAATGTTTTTCATGTATACCCAAGTTATATCATGTAACTGCCTTTAAACAAACATCGCCAAATCCGTCTGTTGTTTACAACTTCTGTACAGTAATATTCTGTATAGAGGCTACAGAATTATGCTCTATACAAATGTAAACATTCAGTTGTAATGTCCTTGAACCATAATGAAAGTTACATTTTAATATGTAATTTTCCCTGACATGCTTCAAAGATAATTGGATCTGATAGTACAGTACTTGTTGACCTCCAATGACCCCACTCGACAATTTCCTGATCATGAACATTAAAAGAAACATATTTTTTCAGATCAACGTCCAACAACCATGGCGGTCCGCCCGCAACAGCAAGGTGTGTATTTATGTTTGGTGCAACTCTGGAAGACAAATAATGCATTTACACCTTTTTGAATAGAGTGTATACATTTTGCATTGATTCCCATATACTTGCATGTTAATACACTATTACGCTCTCCCTTCTGTGATCATTGACAAATACTATAAATATGTAACATTTTTTTGCGGCTTCATTGTGTGTCACTTTTATTCAATAGGGGCGCTGCTTACAAATTATTGAAAGTGTTAAAATGGTTCCATTTATTAATGGCCCCGCCCCTTGGATATTGTTGCTAAGGTCCTTCAGAGTATCCGTGTAAAAAAGAAAATGCTAACACATTCATTTGTGGGGCAACACATGTTTGTAGGACATGCGTGTATTCCTGGCCTGTTCCGATTGGTCAGTTGGGAAATTTGATTGACACTCAGAAAAGGTCAATTGTATGTACAGTAGGCCTATCTGACTTGTTGTAACCTTATTGTTATAATTTACTCCATTAAAAAATCAGTCATTTAATCCCATTATTAAACAACGTCAATCGCAAGTTGGATATGAACTCTCATATATAAGCACCACAACTTTATTCGAAATAGAATCTTTAGGTGACTTACATGTAAGGGCGTAAATATGTCTTTGTGTGTGAACTAGGCAGTGGTGTTACTAATGCCACACACAATGCCGCGTCTGTGGCGTTATTAACAACACCTAGAGACCCCAGATGAGTTACGCCATTCAGCTAACGCCGATGATGCTCCAGTCCTAATGTCAAGTGACTGACCAATCACGATTATTTGTGCAATAAACAAACAACCTACCCCGAAAGGAAAGCGCACGATCAGTCGCTTTTGTTCACAGTGTTCTTTAATGGTTTTTAAAGTGTATTGTGGTATTGTTTGGAAAAGTCTATTCTAATTGTAACATTGAAAAATGGCTACAAACAAAAAAGAAAGGGGCTCCTTGCTTCTAAAGCCGGCAAGTCGGGAGCGGGGACCGACATCCTCAGCAAATTTGAGTACTTTGACGAAATTTACAACTTTCTGGACCAGGCCATATGTTAAACCTTCTCCTTCCACCATTGGAGACTCCTCAGTTGTATGAGAAGACGGTGTACCAGGAACTGTTTGTCTGCTGCTGCTGACACTGTTTGTAATGCCAGCGTTAATATAGCGAACGCCATTCATGTTAACACTTTAAAATTTTAATCCATCGATTAGCTTACAGCACGCCTTACATCGTGTGTGTGTAGTCTCCAATGGAATTATTTAAAATGATGAAAAAAATTATAGGCATGCATCAAGGCCAATGTGACTACCAAGATAATGCTTTGGGTACTGTCTGCTGTAGAAATCAAAATCTCGTAACTTGCGCCTAAATATTCTTTCAAAAACACCTTAAAAATCAGTCTCAAAAGGTCCCTAGTTGCATACTACTTAACAACCTCTTTTTAGAATTGACTAACTTTGTTCTCAGCCTATTGTTTTATTTGCTTTAGCTTTGTGCTTTTTATATTGATGTGCTCTCTATGAACAATTTCATTTCGAATGGGCACAATGAAATTATTGTATTCTATTTACTTACAATTTTTTATATTATTGAATAATGAAATGTTGATGAATATTTATTAAACTAATGGTTTTACCTCAAAAAGCATATTTTTACACATGATGTACCGAAAGTTTGATGATTTTTTTAAATATTATTATATTAAAATAAACAAAAAATAACCATTATCTTTGCAGGTGGACTAAGGATGCAAAATTTGCAGCAAGTGGCAGGCAATGTGGGCATGCGGGTAGCCACTCCAGGGTTACAGCAGCAGCAGCAACAGTTACAACAGCAACAGTTACAAATGGCACAGTTCAAACAACAGCAGGTGGGTAGGCTTTCTTACTTACTGTAGACAGTCCGCGTATAAGACGATCACGACTTTGAGAAGATTTTTGGACATTTTTTTGTATTTTGAGCATATAGTATAAGACGACAAAGGCACCCCCTTTCCCTCTCCCCTTTCCTCTTGCATGTAATCCTACCCTAAAACTAATCATCACTAATTAGTATTAATCTACTGACCTATTCCTGTCTCTTATACACATCTAGATGTGTATAAGAGACAGATATGGTGTTGATACTGCATCTACTGTAGCTGGTTAAAAAGGGAGCCAAATGTAGGGCTAATTTTCCAAATACTATTACCCGAGATTCTAAATTTTCATCGAAATCTTATTTCCCCACATTTCAAATTGCATTCATTCAGACCATACTAACATCAAAATAATGTGAAATTACAAAACTTTTGCCCTGTTGTATACCACATTTATGTGCTGAAACAATAATGGCGTCTTATGAACATTGTAGCCTCGCGTGGTAGGTCTAAGCCCATCAATCAGGCTAGTTTGCATGCTGGTCGGACTGCTTCCAGTCCGCCAGCTTGTGTTAGGTCGGTCCACTTGAGTCAGCTCAGCCTAGCCAAATCAGGCCTATACCATCATATACACATGACATTCTAAAATCTGTACCAAATTTGAGGAGGACCGAGATGCATGTAACATTGTCAATAAGTGAAAATTTAAAGTAAATCGGTCCAACAGTATTTGAGTTATGCACCCGGGAAGACGTGCCTACACACACCCAAAAGCACACAGACGCGCACACACGAACACACAGAAGCTCACAGACACGCACAGCATAACTAGTAGCTATATTTCGGTAGTGGGTAGCTGGTAGGTTCAAGCACTAATAGTACACAGATTACTGTTGCAGTGTTATGGCATGTTCCATGTGGCTTTTTATCCACTGACAGGGTCATAATTGGATAAGCTCATTACCATATTCATGTTATTTGCCTACAATTATTATTTCTCTTTAATTTTCTGAAGATTCTCATACATTCTTTCCACAGGTAATGGGACAACAAAGTCTTCTACAGAAACAGCAGCAGCTTCAACAGCAGCAACAACTTCAGCAGCAGCAACAGCAGCTCCACCAATTTCAACAGCAGCAGCAACAGCAGCAGCAACAACAGCAACAACAACAGCAGCAGCAGCAAGGTGTGAAAACTCAAGCAACTTATAGCGTAACACCCCAACAGGTGAGTTCCAATGGGTGACACGCGTGACAATTAACTTTGTGGGGTTCTACAGTACATAGGGCTGTAACGTCAGCACGGCTGTCCCATGGCAAAACAATCTAACTGCTATTATATTTTTGTCCAGTTACGTTGTTTTACCGTGGAACGGCCAAGCGACGTAGAACTCTTTCAAAAGTTTTTATTCTACTGTAACTGCAATCAGATCCTTTTTAATACAGCGTTCACACAATAAATTTATTGTATGAACACAGTGAATGTAGATTGAAAAAACAAAAAAGTGTGTTAAAATAATGCCCTACTGTTGTTACAAACTTTTTGTGTTGTAAAGAATACAAAAGTGCTTGACAACCAATACATGCTTATTTTGACGTGCTTTTTTGTTTTCATGAACTAACACCATCTACATTCATTTTGTTAGTTTGTATTTGTATTATTATTTACCCATTGCTTTTGTTATTTTATAATAGGATTGATTGATTAAATATATACAAATAGTTATTGGCATTTCACCTAGTTTGCACTATATTTTTTTTTATAAGAGCTTTGTATACTTTTAAAAATTTTTATTTCTGAATGATAATCACAAAAAAAATAGAATGAATATTGTTTACTTTTTCAAACATTATTTTCCATTAATTGATTTGTATTTAGCTAGAAATATGTATTATTTTTATATTTGTTTGTGAACAACATAACCAAATTTTTCCAATGTTTAATTTAGTTATATTAATAACATTTAACATTTAGATATTTTGACTACATACAGTAAAATTCTGAAGTGACATAATGTTGTGAAATTATTAACACTAACCATTAAAACCCAATTATAAATTACAACTATATAAAATAAGTATTTTTCTATTTTTTTGTTTTATACTGTACAGATAATAATTGATTTATTGTTGTTTTTATTTGTTGTTTGTATATTATATTATAATTGTCAGTTTTTTTTTGTGTTTCACCATTACTGGATTCAATGATAGTGCACCAATTTTTAAGTCCTTTTGTCTTCAACAGCGACCACCTGCCTCGCCTTTTAATCAAGTTTGGGGGTCGCCAAAGGTCAGTAATATCACTTTCTGTCCTCTCAACGCATACAAGCTATGGTTGTATTCTACTAGCTCTGGTTTGTTGCCTGGGTTCACCTGTGTACCTCAACATTATTCCCTCATACTGTTTGGCATTTCATTTCTTGTTTTCTTTTCCTCCATTTTCGGCCATTCATTTTTTTTCTGTTTATATTGTATGGTTTTGCTAAGGCAACCACGTCTATATTCTATTTTTTTTACTCAATTTCAATTTTGTATATTTTTGTTTACCTTTGCAATGTAGCTATGAACTTTAAGGAATAAGCCTCCCACTATCTTAAAATATGTTACATGAAAGATGCTGCATTTCACTTGAAGCCCACTTCTGACTCAATTGATTGGAAAAGGAAATTCTGTATTATTTTATGATAGCTTCAGATAAGAGTCTGTTACTCAAGTTAATAAAGTGAGGAAGGAGATGAGCTTTAATACCTACAGTGCTAAATATATATTATATAAATGCACACATACATTTGCATATATGTATTTGTGTGTATACTGTATATATAGTTTATTTTAAAAAATATACTTTTATTATTATATTCGTCTGTACATTTATCTACCATTTGTATACATACATACAGTAAACATTGCTTAATCTCTAATTTTTTTTCCCTTTTATATTGTTTATAAAAATGTACGTGCAAAAATTCAATTAACAATTGAATTACTCATTTTAATACATCATTACCATCAACAAGCCACATATTAGTTTTCACTGCTTTACAGACACTTTTACTAAAATATCTATTGATTTATTATTTCAACATATACAGTAAATCTTTGCATTGCATCTTGCATGTAATCCTACCCTAAAACTAATCATCACTAATTAGTATTAATCTACTGACCTATTCTTTCACATAGAGTAGAACCCCCTTCTTTGGGACACCCCTATTAAGCAGACACTTTTGACCACAAAATGAGGGGAACTCTATCCTTTTAAAACTACAGCCAACAACTATTCAGAGGGAATTCCCATTAAGGGGACACATTTGGTCCTGAAGGTGCCCCCTTAATAGGAGTTCTACTGCATGTAAATTGTAATATAAGTGTTTTATAAGTCCGAGTATTAAGCTATTTAAGGTCACCGCACATGAGAATAAAGACCTTTGCAAACCACCACGAACGACAGTTTACAAATTTTGTAGGCTAGTATTGCAGTGGAATCCTGTCAATTTTTGACCACATACCATTAAAAAAAATACCAGTCATATTTTTTGCATAGTTCTTCATGAGTGGTAGACTTGATCTAATAGCTCAACAAAAGAAATCAATTACCCAATAAGATTTCATAGCTTGTTTATGTTATCTGCCGACTACAGTACCACTGGTGAGTCCAAAATCTACTGCCTCGTAAACGGTTTTTCCTGGTCAATTGCAAAGCTTTTCACTTTGAAGTCCATTCAGGAGCTACACAGGTTTTAATGTAGCTTCCTTTAGCGGATAGGTGCGTATAATGAATTCTGGTTTCTGTTATCTGTTGACTGGAAAAGTCGTAGCAGGGTCACCAACAGCATAACCAGCGGTGCAGGCACACAGCATCACAAAATTTATTTGTGGCCTCTTACAAAGCATTTTTGAACATCGTATTTGCATTGTTGAGACAAATGCCTGTTTCGCATTTTGTTACTGTTATACCCATCAAAGTTTTTGAAAAAGAAATAATCTAACCAGTTAAATCTATCTATTTATCATCTTTGCAGTTAGAATATTTTGCACGCATTCTGCATAATTACAAATGTACCTTTGGTATTCTCTTTCAAATGCATGGTTAGATATTTAATTTTCTTTGAAAATTTGACCATTCTTGAAAATAATCAAATAGATCGAAACGTTGAATCTCAAAATGTCTCTGTCTCTTTTCGCAGTTACTGCCTTTTTGTTTTATATTTAATTTTCTTTTTTTAATTTTATAATTTTACTTGGTGTATTTGTATAAGGCCAAGAAAAAAAAAATCATAGTTTCTCGTCTTAATATTTTTAAAAAGGAAAACGAGGGCACTTTTTTTTTTACTCAAAGATGTCAAATCCAAGATAGCTGATGAGAAATAGCTACTACTTTTTCACTTTTACTGAGTAGACACATTGAAAGCAAATAAAAGAGGCACTAAACATGATTCATATGTAGGAGCCTATATTGAGTTTTAATTCATAATAGTTCAAATGAAATTGTCCCTAGAAAGTGCTTGAGCATCTCCCTAACCATGAATGATCGAGAGAAGAATTTTACAGATGTCTGTGAGTCAGCCAGATTTTAATACATTTCATAAATAAAGAAAATTTTAAAAATTAAAAAAAAAATTGGTAAGGCAGAGAAAAATTGATGCGTGAGGGCCTTATTTGGCCTTAATCAAAACAACCTATCTATAATTATTTAAATTAAAATTGAATCATTCTTTGTTAACATTGATTTGTCTTTTGAATTTCTCTGTTGCCTACAGCCAAGTGCATATGGAGAAATACCATCGCCAGCTTCTGCGTAAGTATATCAGTCAGATCTTTTTAAAAATAAAGTCAGACATACAAGTATTCCTAGACCCACCTATAGAATGACCCCCAAGGTTATTTAATTTTCGCTCCAGACAACCACTGTTGTTACATACAGCCTGCGGGCCACATGCGGCCCTTTGCTTATTTTTTTACGGTCCGTGAAAATAAATTAAAAAAACTATATTTGTTCCATCTACCAACCATCTTTTGCTAGAAAACACCTTGTTTTTATGGCCCGACACCAATCATCGGTAATAAGTAATATTAAAACTGAGAATGAAGTGTTATAAATGCAGTAAATGGAGGTTTTTGCATCTGGAGATTTAGTAGGAATGTTTACTTTCTCCGACGTGGTATCATACTAAATACTCAGAATGTTCCCAAATACTTGAAAAAAAAATTGTGCAAAATCGAACCCACGACCTCCAGATAACTAGCCCGGTTTCTTGACCACCAGGCTCTGCTAAACCTGAATTGAACTTTAGTGGCTAGTGTTAATCTGATTCCTAAGTAGCAGTATTTACTAATCGTTATAAAGTCTAAATATGTTAATTTGTATAAGCTTGCTACTTTACTTATTGGATGAAGTCACAATGTGAAACCCCCTGGGGAGTTTAGTGAATGTTTATAAATAAATATGAAATGAATAAGTGTAAATTTTTTATGAATATTAATGTGAATATTAATTGGTTTATCACAAGGAAATATTAATATTACATATACACCTGGGGAGTGTAAAATTAATAAATTTTCCATTTTCAGTTTACAGCCAGTGCTTTCTCCAGCCAGTAGCTACATGCAACCTTCCCCATCTCCCCAACAACCTATTCCATCGCCCCTCAGTGCCACTATGGGTCCTCCCAGTACACCCTCAACAGGCTCCATTAGTGCCCCTAGCTCAGTTGGGGTAAATCCGAGCCCAAGGAGTATGCAGATGAACGAACAGGACCGCCAACAGTACGAGACTAAGCGTAGAGAACTTGCAATCTATGTCGACCCTCTGAAAAAAATGTTGAAGAAGATGAGCACTGATGGTGAGGGCTTATGAATATTTATTTTTCTGTTCATTTTTATATAAAATTCTTTATATTTCCCTTGTTCTCTATAAAACTATAAAACTGCTGTTAATGCTTACCTAACAGCATATGTAAAATATTTTTTTGTAGTTAGTTTGTAGTTATTCCCCAGTTTGGTTTTCTGTCTGGGCCACATTTGGTTACATACACCACCTCGCCTGCTCTCCTGGTTAGGAAAAAGAAAATAATGAAAAAGTAAATAAAGGTAAAGGTGGGAGGATAACCCATAACTAGCAGCAGCATTATGCTGATTTGCAAATGGGCGTGGACTGTGATTACTGTAGCAGCCGTAAAGAGGTGAAATGTAGCTTCGTGTCTACATTCTACGACAGGAGGTGAAGTGAACCATAACATCGGGGTAACCCCCTACTCTTCCGAAAGATGCAGTGGGTTCTTTAAAGTGTGCTCAAGCCAGATGTGTACACTGGACCTCCATTTTAAGTCCTTATCTGAGAAGACTTTGACCTAAAACCAGTAGCATCTCGAACAAGCTGGAAATTTTTTTAATGGAAACAATATTGTTAGATTTTAGCTTATACATGAATTTAACAATAAAAAAAAATATCAAAATATTTGAACAATAAATCATTATATTATATTTTTAGTATTTATTATATAATATTTAAAACAATGATAATGGAGATGATTATAGACAATATAGTGAGTTTAATGATATGATTTTTTTTTTACAGAAAAAAAGAAAGAACAAGATAAACTTAATAATCTTCTGAATATCCTTACTAACCCAAATGCAGTGTTTCCTTTAGCGACGCTGCTCAAATGTGAACAGGTTTTGCAGAAACTGAACTTTGTAAGTGTAAGTCCCATTACTGTAAGAGCAGCTTAGCTCAGTCTGTGTGCACGCTGAACTGAGGAGATCTCTACAGTTGGTTTCCTGTTGCTGCTCTGCTTGTGTTTCAGCCGGAGGGCTGAAATGCAAGTTACGATAGCCGCACCCTCTTTCGGATGAGATGTTTAAGCTGTTGGTCTCATGTGCATTATGGCCTGTTTATACATTAAAGAACACAGTACACTCTTCGGAAAAGAGGAGGGGATTGTCTTCCGGTGTACTGGTAATCACCACCAGAACGACCCCACTGGAAATAAGTCTTCTTCAGACTTTCATGGGTTATCCTTGGTATTTACACCTAATACATTCATCCATCCATCCATCCATCCATCCATCCCTTGTCTCAACATTTTGAGTTATGTTGAGTTCAGTGATCATTCACCAGCTTTGTCCTGTACAGACTATTAAATCTTACTTGAAAAAAACATGTGATATGCCTACTGTAAATCACGACCATATATAGGCATATCATGACCATATATGGGCACATCATGACCATATATAGGCACATCATGACCATATATAGGCACATCATGACTATATATAGGCATATCATGACCATATATAGGCACATCATGACCATATATAAGCACATTATGACTATATATGGGCACATCATGACTATATATGGGCATACAACAGTTTTTTGTCAAAGAAATTTTGATAGTGTAGATAGAGCTGTAGTTAAAAGTACATTCAATGAAATTTGGTTGTGCAGCAGAAATTAGACAAGCGTAAAATATTAGCAACATATGTGGCAAAGACAAGCCAAACCAGTCACTCGTCGCAAAGTTTGATTTTAGTTTTTAATACAAGGTTAAAAGAAAATAAATGAGAGCTATAAAATAGTAAAAAAAAATAATTTAAATTTGACATTTTCTTATGAAGCTACAAGCATTTAAACATAAAACTGTTTAAAGAACAATATTTGAGAAATCAGCCTGAAACACGATTTGCGATGAGTGACTGGT